AAGGTGGCCCTAGACCTAGAAGCAAAGATAGGGCATGGACATAACTCAGTCACAGACGGGAAGAAGAAGACACTGCCTCCCAACTGGAAAGCGAAAGGTCGCATTATGTTCGTCGACCACGATGGCTCAACCATTGAGTTGGACAACGACTTCCAGTAAGGAGTAGGTGCAGAGGCAGGCGGCGATACTTCAGAGGGTGGAGTAGTCGCCGCCGTAACCCAACAAAAAGGTAAAGGGACCGGTAGACGCCCTAGGGGATCCCGGTCGAAGAGTCAAACARACYCYAATGCTCCTCCATGGGAGAAAGCGGGTCTAGCTGAGGACGTGTGGAGAGATCGGTGGGCACGGCAAGCTTGTATCAAGTGTGGCCAATATGGTCATAACATGTGCAAGTGCCGCAATAGGAAGGTCACCGAGAAGATCCCGCCCACTATGGGGTCGACAGTAGGATCCTCTCAAACTTTTGGAAGCAACGTCGCTAGCTCTTCAAGCAATGCTCCGGGAAACACGTCGGGCCAGTAGGGATAGTAGCTGTTCCTACTAGGGTCGCGATGGTGGATTCACCCTCACCTTCGCGAGAGATGGCCCAAGCTACAGACTCTTCAGTCGTCCTGCAAATACATTCAGACTCGTCGACCCTCTGTTCGATGAATGTGTTTGAATCCTTAGAGGAGCTAGAGCATGAGTGGTCTAGATCCGATCCACTAGCTTCTTGGATGGCGTTAGTTAAAGCCCCTAAGAGTGAAATGTTCGTCAGCGAGGTAGTCATAGGAGGCCGTAAGGCCGGGGCCTATTACGACACTTGCTCGACTAGAAACTTTATGAGCCGCGCGTGTGTTGAGAGGTTGCGCTTACAGGGGCAAGTGCAGCGCCTGAGTCGACCTGTGGAGTCGACCTGTGCCAACAAACAGCGTATGGTAGTTAATGACTACCTCCATGATGTAGAGTGTGTTTTCCCGTACGCGGGAGGGGACTTGAGACATCGTGTCTCGTTCCTGGTCAGTGACGAGCTCCCAATGTAGAGTGTGTTTTCCCGTACGCGGGAGGGGACTTGAGACATCGTGTCTCGTTCCTGGTAAGTGACGAGCTCCCAATGGACATGTTACTAGGTATGTACTACCTCTTCGTAGCACAGCCCCAGTTTGACTGGGACCGAAAAGTGGTCAAACACACGTTGCCAGGTGGAAGGACCGCCAGATTACATAAGTTCAAAGCTAGTAGTCTGATTGAGTCCTATGGGTGCATGTGCGTGGCCGCATTCTATAATTATTGTAAGCAAAATCAGGAAGAGGGTATGTACTTAGTCTATGTCTCTGCTGCAGGAGAGCCGGTGAAAATGCCGCCAGAGATAGAGGGAGTAGTTGCTAAGTACCCTGATCTATTTGAAGAGCCGACARGGGTTGTTGAGAGGGAGGTTGTCCAYGCGATAGAGATTATCCCAGGGTCTAGTATTCCAAAGGGTAGAATCTATCGGATGTCTCCGAGCGAGCTTGATGAGCTTCGCCGCCAACTCAAGGAACTCGTAGAGAAGGGTTGGATCCGGCCGAGTGTCTCTCCTTATGGGTCTCCAGTTT